AAAAGAAAAGAAAAGAGAAGGGGGTGGGGGGGTTGCAAAATGAGACATGCCGTGCTTAGTGGCACAAGCCTGTAATCCCAGCGCTTGGAGGCTGAGGGAGGAAGACTGCCATGACTTCAAGGCCAGCCAAGGCTGCATAGTGAGTTCAAGCCTGAAGTACATAGTGAGACTCTGCCATAAAAAAACAAAAAGAAAAGAGGCAGATTTAAATTTCCTCACTCAATACTGAAAAAGACAGCACAGAATACCTACCTTAATAAGCCCACTGAAGGAGCGTGAACGGGCCCTCTTCTGTACCCGGGGAGTAGAAGGTTCTCGTCCTGGTGTTTGGGTCAAAGATTGCTTATGAAACTAAAAGAAACACAGTATACATTTTATTAAAACTCTCCCATCAACAGTCAGGCTGGGTGCAGTTGTGCACACCTACAATACCAGTTACCCAGAAGACTGAAGCAACAGAACTGCACATTCAAGGGCAGCATGGGAAAACTAACCAGACCCTGTCTCAAAATAAAATAAAAAGGACTGACGATATAGCTCAGTTGCAGATTACTTGCTTAGCATATATGAGGCCCTGGGTTCAACCCCCAGCACTGCCAACATAATAATAACAACAATAATGAGACAGAGAAAAAGAGATGTCTGTGACAATCAACAGCTAAGTGTAAGTAACAGAGAAGTCCAGGAATAAATAAGTCTGTGCTAATGTATATATTAGCAAGTTGACAAGCAGATACAAGGCAGAAATGAAGGCTGGGACATAGTTCATTGGTAGAGTGCTTGCCTACTATACACAAGGCCAATAGGTTCAAACCCTAGCACTGTAAAAAGCAAATAAACAAAGATAGAAACTAAGCTTCCACAAAGAAACCAAAATGGTTTCTTACATTTCATATTCCTTAAATGTGGAACTATCACCCTATTTTACAGACAAGGACACTGAGAATTAGCAAGCTTACAGAATTTGTCCAAGATTGCTTGCTAATAAATCATAATTTTTTTTGCATAAAAGCATCTTGGACATCCAGAGTCCAACCTAAAACAGTGCTTAATTTAATATAAAGTTCATATCACACTTTTTAAAAAGTTATTAAAGTGGTTTACATAGAGTTCATTATCATCAAAAGAAATAGATCAGAATGCAAATTTTCAATACTGTCAGGGCCAGGGATTTAGCTCAGTGGTTTCACCCGCTGCTGCACAAGCGCAAGGACCAGAGTTTGATCCCTGGTACCAAAAAAAAACTATGTCTCAAAATACAGAATAAAAAAAGGCTAAGGAGGGCTGGGGATTTAGCTCAGTGGTTACACCGCCTGCCTCACAAGTGGAAGATCCCAAGTTCAATCCCCAGTACCAAAAACGAAACAAAACAAAAAAAGCCTGAGGATATAGCTAAATGTATAGCCCCTGGTTCAATTGCTAGTAACAGATACACACACACACACACACACACACACACACGCGTGCGCGCACACACACACTATGTAAATATATATTCATAAGAAAAAAACTAAAAGAAATGGCCAAAATACAAACATTAGTGGAGCCAGGTATGCTGGCGCACACCTGCAATCCCTGCAGTCAGGAGACCGAGGCAGGAAGATCACCATGAATTTGAGGCCAGCCTGGGCTCCACAGTGCATTCAAGACCAGCCTGAACTACATAGCCAGACCCTGCCTCAAAAAACTGAAACAAACAGTGGTGGCATAAGTGACATATGTTTTATCTTTGTCTGTAATTTCCTGTTTTTCTAAAAAAAAAAGCAAAAATAATGTTTTTCATTTTATATTACTGTATCTTTAACCCTCAGTACTCTTCTTGAAAGAAGTCATACCCATTCTACACAAAACTGCTGCTTTAGTTTCTATAGAAAATTAAGTCGGCCGGGGATTTAGCTCAGTGGTTCCACCACCTGCCTCAAGCGCAAGGTCCCGAGTTCAATCCCCAGTACCAAAAAAACAAAACAACAACAGCAAAAAACAAAAAAGCTAGGGGCCAGGGATTTAGCTCAGTGGTTTCGCCACCTGCTGCGTAAGTGCAGGGACCTGAGTTCGATCCTGGTACCAAAAAAAAAAAAAGAAAATTAAGTCACTCGCTTACTTTGAGTCCACAATAATACTCAGCCAACATTCTGAAAAATTCTAGTCATAGAACAATTTGTTACATCTTCAAAAAGAGTAACAAAAAAAGTCTTAATTACGTAGAATAACTTAGATCAACAAAAAAGCTTAGTTCATTTACACCTGATCCTATGCTTGATATTAGGTATAAAATAAATGAAAACAAACATAGACTCTTCCCCTGAGAAGGTCCTAAGTTGAATAAGAAATAAGAGGTTGACTGTTATAGTCTAGATTTAAAACACCCTCTCTGTGCTCATTTCAGCAGCACATATACAAATGCCCCCTCATCCCCAAAGTCCATGTATTAAAGGCTCAGTCCCTCACCTTGTGGTGCTACTGGGAGGTGGCAGAACATTGAAAAAGTGAGGTCTACCAGAAGGTTTTAGTTCACTAAAGATGTGCCTTCAAAGGGGATTGTTGGGTCCTGGTCTCTTCCTCTTTACTCCCCGCCATGAGATATAAGGTTTTGCCACATTCTCCCTGCCACCACGTGCTGCCTTACTACAGACCAAAAAACAACAGTGTCACTCAATCGTGAATTAAAATCTCTTAAAACTGAAATCCAAAACAAAGCTTTCACTTAAATTGATTAGCTCAAGTATTTGCTATAGAAAGCTGACTTATACACTGGCCCTGCCTATTCAGCTAAAATTCAAGAGATTGAGATAAATATAATAAATTTTGTGAAAAAGAAACTACCCAAGTCATCAGGATTTACTCAAACTATGCATTGAGTACTCAACAAAGCAATGAAAGACCTAATTTTGCTCCCATAATTCCAAAGTAAATAAACTTGGCCAGAAGAATTCCTACTTTATAGTATCAGATTAGGGCCTTGATTTATAATGCTTTACAACTTGCAAACAACTCCCTTAGTAAGAGTTACCACTTGCCAGCCACTCTGTGTACATTATCTCTAAATGACAAAATTGAGATTCAGAAAATCAAGTTATCCACCAGGAAAATTTAGTGTTTCAAACTTGAAACAATATACTGGAACTGCTGGTTCTCTCTAAGCAAATTTGATATACTTTATTACCAAAATTAACCTCTTGTTTTACTGGAGAAATCCAAGAGCCTCCACTCCTTTCTCCAGTGGGGCTGTAGTACATTGAGATTCCAGAGACAAGCTTTCTTTCTTGTCTGAGCCAAAGCTTGTCCCAATGACAGCCAAAAACTAAATGAGATCCTTAACAATATTCTCAGTGATTTTACAAACACAATCAGATTTCCAGAGCTCCATTAGTATTTTCCTGCACTCAGGCACCTGTCTAATAAGATGTTTCTTCTTTGCTGACTCTGGCATATTGTGAACATGCTGGAAGAGCTCTCTCAGTGCCTCTTCTGTACGCTGCTGGATCTCCTCCTGCTGAGAGCAGGAATCTGCCTGGTTCCATTTCTGAGATTTTGCCAGCTGGAAGGACTTAGCACGACATGAAGCTGTCAGATCAAAATCATCCTAAAGAAAATTTAAAAGAAATATGAATTAATTTATCCTATTGGCTTTGTTTTTGAGTTTCCATAAAAATCTGGGGAAAAAACGCTTGGGAACTTGGTATATACTCCTCTATCCAAGAATGAAAAAGATCTCATAATAATGAGATAAAGAATCTATTAGCAAAGGTTAATAGCCCACTCCCACAGCCTGCCCAGAGAACCTAAATGCATCTAGAATATTGCTACCAAGAGTTATATTTGCAGCAGAGTTCAGTTTTCAAAACATCTTTAAAACCTCATTTAATCTCATGTAATCTTCACTGCTATCTTACAAGGTAAGCAGGACAAATATCATCATTCCCACTGAAAAACTGAGGTTAAGCTATAATGTCACCTAGACCCTGAAGTGACAGGCACACCATGGAACACAGGGTATTGCTTCTTGGCCATTGCCCTTTCCCATACATGACAATTTAATGTAACAACTACTTGGCAGTGGTAAAAGAATAACAACAATGACTCTTTAAGAAAAGCCACATTCCAGTTAAACTGAAATCAAATACTGTTTTCCTGGATATACCAAATATTTCCTTAACACATGCCTACTGGCCTGAACCATGAGTGGTACATGCATGAATGTCCCAATGGGCAGCATGGGACAGCATGGTAAACCACTCAATGGCACAATCATGTATGTACCACCAGTGGTTGAGAGCTTCCTGGCAGTAAGATATATGAATTACAACCTCATTGTGAATGTATTAATGACAGGGAGAAATATACAGGATCAGAAAAAAAGCACAAGATGACAGCTTAGGTTTCTAACAAGACAAACTAAATAGAACTCATCAAAAAGTGGTGGTGGGCCGGTGATTTAGCTCAGTGCCATGGACAGGTGCAAGGTCCTGAGTTTGATCCCTAGTACCGAAAAAAAAAAAAAGTGGTAAGGTTTTTCTAACTTTTCTCTTTTTTTTTTTAGTACCGGGGATCGAACTCAGGTCCTTGTGCTTGCGAGGCAGGTGGCAGAACGTGAGCTAATCCCCAGCCCCTAACTTGTCATTATTAAAACTCAATAATCATATGTAATCTTCTATAAATAAGCATCATACATTTCCCTGTTTAAGATCCTTCGGTCTCAGGTCTTTTAGCCACTTGACAGTTTTACCATGCCACTGAATTTTGAGTAAAAATGAATCACGTAAAACTGTACTTTTGAAGAGGTGAACCTTCCAGGCCACCATACCACTGCCCCCAGTGCCAAAGAGCAGAGAACACCCCCAGCACAGAGGAGGTGAACCTTCTGGGCTGACATACCACCGCCCCAAGCACCGAGGAGGTGAGCCAAGTGGGTGCCAGCAGCACACACCCCTTTCCCCAACCGTGAAATGAGAAGACACATAAAGAAGTCTCAAAAGCAGACTTCCAGATCACCTAAAGCAATGCCAAAGGGAAACCAGATGGAATAATCTGATACTCAACCACCTGGACTCCCTGAACTGACAACAAAAGAGGATTTGGAAAAAATGAAATCAGAAATAATTTCTCAGATATCAGCAGAGATTGTGTCCACAGTGCAAGACATGATGAATAAATCTAGTGTGGGGATAGATTAAAAAATAGAGGAGCTGAGGAACATGATGGAATCCCAACATAGGAAACAAATGGAATCCATAAAACAGATGCAAACAGATATCCAGGAGATTAAAAACTCCACTGGAAGTTTACGCAGCACAATAAGCCAATGTGAGGTCAGAATTTCAGATGTAGAAGATAAGACTCCAATTACTGGCCAGGAAAAGAAAAATTTCTTTAAAATAGTAATGAAAGGGCCGGGGATTTAGCTCAGTGGTTCTGCCACCTGCCTCACAAGCGCAAAGACCCAAGTCTGAGCCCCAGTACAAAAAAAAAACAAAATAAAATAAAAATACGATCTCTTAAAATACTAAGGGAGCACAAGAAATCAATCCAGCAACTGCTAGATGATGCAAAGAAGAATAATGTAAGACAGATCGGAGTCAGTGAAGAAACAGGAGAGCGTGCAGATGACATAAAATAACTGTTCATAGAAGTGATGGCAGAAAACTTCCCAAGTACAGGAAAACAACTTGACATACAGATAAGTGAGGCACACAGTACTCCAACTAGCCTTGATCAAAAAAATCTACATAGAGGCATATAATAGTTAAGATTCCAGAGCCGGGGATTTAGCTCAGTGGTTCCAGCTCCTGCCTCCAAAGCGGAAGGACCTGAGTTCAATCGCCAGCACCAAAAAAAAAAAAAATCACAACACAAACCAAAGTAGAGAAAATAAAGTTTAAATTGCAGAACTGTAAGACTCAGTAAGCTTGCAATCTACTGCTTGAGACAAACTTTTTTTGGTACCAGGGATCAAACTTGGGTCCTTGTGCTTGTGCAACAGGCAGCAAAACCACTGAACTAAATCCCTGGCCCTTGAGACAAATTTTTAAATAAACATGACATACAATATTCTAAATTTTAAACAACAAAAAATAAGTATGAAAAGTTCAACCAAATTACACACATTATAAAAAGCCAAGCTTATTATATAACATTTCTCAAGACTAGTTTACTCTCTTATTTCTTAGACAATGTACTGAGAAATCAGAGACATTTATAGCTAAATGGATGCACATTGAGGCGATACTTTAAGTGAAATAAATAGGACACACATGTGTAAATACCGAAGAGTTTCTCTAGTGTGAGAAATTGAAAGTGTAAATAAGGACTAAAAGCTATAACAGATAATGTGAAATAGGAAGAAAAGGGGCAAAGGGGAAGG